CCAAACACAATGGTCCCAGAGCTCAACCGAAATGGCACTAAACAAGGGCCAAACAAGCCTTAAGAGGGGTCAAACATCCCCAAAGCTTAAAACACCCTTAACAAACTATTTAGAGCACTCAAAAACAAGAATTTTCTATGTTATATGTTAAGCTCAAAAACAGTTTCAAATATGGAAAAACAAGCTATGAAAACAAGGCTTAAAAGAGGTAAAAGCTCACCCTTGAAGCACAGCAGCAAATCAGCAACTTTTGGACCAAGAAAAGGCTTCAAATCACCCCAAAAATCACCTCCAAGGATCTCAGCTCAATAAGGGGAGTAGAGAACTAGGTGTTTGTATGCAAAAGTGCAAAGAAAATGCACTTTTGAGCACAAACAAGCCCTAAACCTTAGAGAGAGAGGCAGAAAAATGTAGAGAGAGAGATTTATTTGCTCCAAGTTGTATCTCTTTTCTTCCTCTTCTTCTCCTATGTGAGAGAGCTAGATTGATATAGATATGTATCAATCTGCAGCTCCTCAGAACACCCACGTCCAAGCATGGGCTGGGGTATGGCCTAGAATGACAGCTGCCAGCTGTCTACAGAAATATCTGTTGAAAACCACATTTGGCCAGCCGGCCATCAAAGTGGCCGACCGGCAGTCAAATTGGCTGGCCGACCATCACATTTGGCCGATGGCAACATAACACAACCGGTGGCCTCAAGCCATGGCCGGTGGAGTGTGGAGATGTCCCAAAAGCCATTCCCTGCCCTCCAAAGAAAAAACACAAGTGTTTGGTGCAAAACCAGACACAAAACGGTTGAGTCGAGAGATCCCGAGGCAAGGCGCGTAGCCGAGATCTCCAGGAACTCAAGACGAACACAAACATGGATGATCACCGAGTGTTCAAGCGATGACGTCCAAGCCTTGAGGACGATCAAAAATGGGGTGTCTACATTGTGGTTCTTAGTATTGAACAGATTACTGATCACATATCAAGACATAATGGTTCCTAGTAGTGGAGAGGCTACTGATCATATGTCAAGACATGATGATTCCTAGTAATGAAAGAGTATAGGTTGATGACATTCTAGGAATGTATTTATTGTGATAGGACTTTAAGAGTTTCATAATTGTTGTGACACAAGGAATTGTTTAAAGATCCTATATGAATTTTTGAAAAAGGCCAAAAGGCTTTGTATAAATTCTACAAATGTGGGGATGTCATGCAAAAAGGTGGGAATACTTAAACCCAAGAGGGTTAGGATAAGCCAAAAAATCAGTTGACTTAGTATTCAACGAGTATGCACAATATAGCAGTGCATATCGATTTCTTGTGGTTAAGTCTGCTATTCTAGATATACATAAGAATACTATCATGGAATCAAGAAATATATCTTCCTTTGAAAATGTATTTCCTTGTCATCTCTAAGAAGGGATTCCGAGTTCCATGAAAGATGTTGAAGGTAACAATGATCACATAGCTGATCAACCAGCTGATCACTTAAATGATCACATTGATGATCAAGCTGAGGATGTAGAAAGAGTAAGAGGGCTAGGACTGCAAAGTCCTTTGGTCCAGACTTCTTGACTTATATGTTAGAGGGAGAACCTCTAACTTTCCATGAAACTGTGACTTCACCTGAAAGTCCTTTGTGGAAAGAAGCAATTAAGAGTGAGATTGACTCCATCTTATAAAACCATACTTGGGAGTTGGTTGATCTACCCCCAAGCAGTAAGGCCTTGGGAAGTAAGTGGATCTTTAGAAAAGAGATGAAAGTTGATGGGTCAATTGATAAGTATAAAGCTAGACGAGTTATAAAAGGATACAAGTAGCAAGAATGACTTGATTACTTTGATACGTATTCACTTGTGACAAGGATTACATCCATTCGCATAGTGATTGCGATAACAGCTTTACGTGGTCTGGAGATACATCAAATGGATGTAAAGAAAATTTTCTTAAATGGAGATTTGAATGAAGAAATCTACATAGAGCAACCCAAGGGGTTTTCAGCTCCAGGACAAAATAAGAAAGTCTATAAGCTTGTCAAATCATTGTATGGTTTGAAGCAAGCTCCTAAACAATGGCATGAGAAGTTTGACAATGCTATGTTGTCAAATGAGGTGAGTGTGACAAATGCGTATATGTCAAAGACACGGATAGAGGTTATATCATTTTGTGTCTATAAGTTTATGACATACTCATTGTTGGTAGTAATTATGAGATGATTACAACTACCAAGAGATTGTTAAACTCTAAGTTTGAGAAAGATATAGGTCTTGCAGATGTAACTATGGGTGTTAAGATTACCAGAACATCTGATGGTATTGTACTTTCTCAATCTCACTATGTTGAGAAGATACTTGAGAAATTTGGTAAATCAGATACAAGTGTGTCTAGGACACTGGTAGACGTAAGTCTACATTTGACCAAGAATAATGGTAAGAGTATTTCTTAGCTAGAATATTCTCAAGTCATTGGAAGTTTGACGTATCTGATGAGCTGTACAAGATTGGATATAGCCTACTCTGTTAGCAGGCTTAGTAGATACACGAGTAATCCCGAATGCTACTCATTGGAGGGGCAATATACGAGTGTTAGGCTATTTACACTACACTCAGGGTTATGGGTTGCATTATACCAAATACCCAACGGTACTAGAAGGGTATAGTGACGCTAATTGGATATCTGATATAAAGGACTCCAAATCCACTAGTGGTTATGTGTTTACCCTCAGAGGGGCAGTCATGTCTTGGAATTTTCCAAGCAAATGTGTATATCATGATCAACGATGGAATCTGAGTTTATTGTTTTGGATAAAGCAACTGAAGAAGCTGAATGGCTTCGCTAGTTCGTTGAGGATATTCCACATTGGTCCAGATTGTGCCAGCCATCTGTATTCAGTGTGACAGCCAATTAGCGATTAGACGGACACAGAGTAATATGTATAATGAAAAGTCTAGACATATTCGTCGTAAAGTCTCAGGACAACATTGCGGATCTGCTAACCAAAAGGTTAAATCGAGTAATAGTAGAGAAGTCGTCAGAAGGAATGGGGTTAAGGCCTTTAGTGTAAGGTGTTACCATAATGGAAACCCAACCTAGTTGATTAGAGATCCCAAGATCTAGGTTCAATGGGACTACCTAATTGTGTGTAACGGTGGTATGTCATTAAGGAGGTTAAACCTCCAGTCATTCATTTTATTAGTGATACCTGCAAGTGTAAAGGCTAAGTTGAGCTTTTAATGACTGTAGTGTGCTAAGCTATTGAGCTGAGTATAGTAGGATACTCAAGTAGAGTCACCTATGTGAGTGTGAAGTGGGCCACTTCTATAAGAATTGACAGGGCCTAATTCTTTAAACCACTCACTGAACTAGGCTAGTGTTCCAGGGCTAAACCAGACACAACAGTGAGAACAGAACGATGGTTGGTGTAATTCCAGTGTGAGGTCTGTTGTCTTGGTTTACATAAACAACAGAGCAGTTCAAGACTTTGTGTTCACTGGGCAACCATGAAATCCGATTGGCTTCACTAGGAGGGGTTCAAAGCCAAAAGCTACCCTTTCTGATGTCGGGGTTATTTTTTGCACTCTCTCCGAGTCTTTGATGTTAAACGTTGTTTGTTTGTTGTTATTCGGTCAATTTTTATTCATATTGGAGATTGTTAGAAAAATAATGGTTTTTTGCTGACTTTAATGCAATATTACAGTGGGTGTCAGTCCTCAATTGAGGTGGATTAAAGTGTGTTTAGGTTCTTTGTAACGAAATCTTTACACCACAAAAAGAATAACCAAAAATCATTAAGATTTGAATAAGAAATTGACTCATTAAGTTGGCCCCATGAAAGAGGTGTCGAAAAAGGTGGCTGCAGAATTATACACATTACACATGTGTATAAAATGGGTGTAACTCCTCTATAATGATGATGGATTAAAGCCATCAATTGGGAGTTTTGCAAAATTAAGTCTTGCCATCAATTGGGAGTTTTGCAAAATTAAATATCTCATCAATTTGGAGTTTTGCAAAGTTAAGGATATGTTTGGTTTGGATTTGTAGAGTGATTTTGGGAAAAAATTTCTAAAAAATTTGTTTGGTTTGTAATTTTTCCAAAACAATTTCCAAAATCACTTTCTCTCTCTTACACATCAATCAATCACTTTTTCTCTCTCCTCTCTCCTCTCTCCTCTCTCCTCTCTCCTTCTCAATCACTTTTTCTCTCACACACATCTACTCAATTGCAACAAAATATCAAATCATTCCAAAATCTCAAATTCCAAAACTACTTTCAAAATACACAACCAAACAAACCAAAAAAATTTCTAAATTCTCCCCCCAAAACAATTTTTAAAAACTACTCTCTCAAAACCAAACCAAACATACCCTAAATCTCTTGCATTTGTTGCAAGAGCCTTTTACTCTCTCCCTCCATGCATATAAAAAAAGACCCTCTCCTTCATTCTTCAAGAACAAAAAAACTTTTGCTATCTTTGTGTGTTATTAATTTTTCCTCCAAGTTTTATATTATTCCTTGTGAGAGAGTACTGCCTTAGTTTTGTTCGCCGAGGCTACGTAATTGGTGCTGTTGTTGTAGCTAGTTTAACCATCGTATCCTGGGAGACAGACATCGAACAACCTCCAACACCTAACCGGTCAGGCGGCAAATCTGTTTTAAGGACACTGTCTAGTGCAGGTTTCAGTTTGCCTTCTGTCACTATTTTATTTTATGTATTTTTGTTCTTCTACTTGTAATTTCTAGTATGATGTTGTAGTCTATAATTGTAAATATAAAATATGAATTTATTTGTTCTATGTGATCCCACAATTTATACAACAAATTGTTAACAGGCTCATAGCTATAACATAATGACTTGGGGCACATGTTTATGCATGGTGTGTATTAAATTCATACTGGGCAAATATTTTACTTATAAATAAATGAGCAAACTAGCAAATGCATGTAACAAACTCAGCAATTTGTCAATTGTTCAAGCATGACTCTCTCAATTTTCTCATTGCAGTCATTGCTCTGTGATCCAAACCCAAATGCAGATTTTCCCTTTTTCTCATTTCAATCACTGCTCTATGATCCAAACGCAAACTCACCTACAAATTCAGAAGCAGCATGGTTGTTTAGTGAGAACAACCGTGAACACAATCAGAGGGTGCGTGAAATTGTCGATCAGAGGTGGACAGAAGACTGGATCCCTCCTGCTTTGGGTGCTATAGCATGTAATTAAGTTGAACAACTTGTTGAATTGCAGCATAAGCTCTGCTAGTTGAGGAACATAGTGGCCTGTTTGGAAGCAAATAAAAAGTAAGTATTAGTACTCCTCAACTCTTAATGTTAATTGTTTTCCACTTGTTATAGAGTGAAATGCTTCCTAGATTTGTTCTTGAATATATAGCTTTCGAGGCACTTAACATATTCATTTTATTTATTTAATATATAACATTTTCAGTCCATGAATAGTTATAGTTAGTACTCAGTTTCCTTGTTTCAAATATTTGAGCTGTGATTGGACTAGTAGTGATGCTACGAATATATTTTGATCCTCTCATTTAGACAAAGAAAGTAAAACCTTCTCATTTGTCAGCTTTCTTGTTTTGTAATCCCCTTTTGTTGCAATATTAGCTTTTTGGTTTGATACTAATCTTCATCGACATAGTCCTATCATTTGGATTTCTATACTTTTTTATTACAACACTTTATAAATGTGGTGTTTCCATTTGTGTTTCTTGTACCCATTCTCGCAGATTGTGAGACTTCCAAGTCAAGCTGCCAGGTTTTCTAAAGTGGGCATTGAGCTAAGTGTAATGCCATAAGAAAATATACAATAAAAGTACACCAACCACCGCTCCTTACGGTAAACCGAAATAAATCTCCAACACATGCATACATAAACATGGGAGATTTACAAAATAGTTCCACATGCGAATATACGTTCAACGACTTTAGTACATGAATCTATAGCATGTAAAACATCCAGTCAAACATAAATAAATGCCCTCAAAGGCTACAAAGTCCAAAGCTTAAGCCCAGTTACACAAAATGGTTGCCCAAACCCATACAAATATAGCCCTGGGCTTGCAAAAAATACATCACAACAAAACAAGAGCCTTGTGCTCCAACATACACATCCACGCCCTTAGTTTGGCGGAATCACCACATCTTTTCCTGCACAAAATCTCATAGGGTGAGCAAAATGCCCAGCAGGAAATTCTTAACAAAGTATATACATTTTATACAAATCTCATAAGATGAAATGTATATGCCATGCCATGCTTTTAAAAGAAAGTCGTATTATCATCTTTTTGAAAACCATCATACTCAATGAAAACTTGAAAATTTAACAATTCAAGAATTTTAAATTAAGTTCAAGGGGCGATAAATATGATTCGGGCAATCCTTAGGTTGGTGTCTGCAAGTAGGCATAACTAGCACTATGAAAACCCCAGTTTTCCAGTAGCTAACCGAAAGGCACGTTGTACCTCCTCCACACGTATTTTCGGTCTTTCACCATGGATACTTTGGCCAACTTAATCAATTTGATCTACACCCGCTATCCGAACTTACCAACGTATTTACCCCAAAACAATTCGATGAGATCTTGTTTCACAAACGTTCCCCTTTTTCAATGCAAAAGTTTTCAAATCTCAATTCAAAACTCATAATAACCAAATGAATTGAAATATCAATGCAACATTTAACAATACATCATAATATTCTTCCATTTTCAATTCCTTCCACACAATTTTTCCATTGTGATCATGATTTCCATTTCTCTTCCCAATGCAATTTCACAAGATAAGCATATTTATATCTATCGAGGAGTAGTAACATTTCCATATTTCATGTATTTTCATCAACTTAGTCATTTCATGACTATATCAACATTTTCAACAATAAACTTCCAAAACCAACTAATTCTCATATACCATGAAATTCCTCATTTCAACATTGTCATAATATTGATCAAATATTAATTTCATAACATCACCACATTTTCTCAAAATTTTCCAAATTTCTCAGGTTTCCATAAACTAGGTTTCCTCCTCATTTTGAAAGAAATTATTTCAAGCTAACAATTCTCTACAACAATATAACTCAAAATCTCAAGGATTTTTAGAAAAAACATTATGGAAACCCACTTTTAAAATTATTCACAACACATGAGGCAAAACCCAAGTTCAATCACCACAAAAAGTCCCAATAACAACAAAATTTGCAAAAATGTATCTATGACTCAAAGAAAAATCCCTACCTCAAGTTATAGAAGGGAAGAGAAAAGAATGCCCCAAAATCAACAGTGTTGAAACTCGATCTCCACTGCACAAGACGTAGCTCTCAAAGAGGTTTCCAACTTTGCTGAAGGAACTGTGGTCAAAACTCTAATGGATTTGAAGAAATCAAAGATTTGATCTAGTTTGGTGTAAGTAAATGTAGAGAGAAGGAAGAGAAATAGGTTTTTAGAGAGAGAGAGAGAGATACAAAAAATGAGATACACTCATCCCCAAGTGAAGAAAAAGTAGAATTTTTTGGACTCAGCGTTTTTCCTCACGTGCACCCATTTTCCCGCACGAGCGGCACTCTCTCTCGCACCTCCTTTCACATGTGCAATTAAAGTAGCCTCTACTCATCACCAACCTCACCTCAGCTCACCGCACGTGCAGCCTCATTTCCAACACGTGTGGCCCATTCCCGCATGTGCCCCGCACGTGTAATTTTGCCTTTTCGCCCCAATACTGCTCTAGTGAGTCCCGGACACCCCAGATCAAGTTTCACACCCTCCGAGACAAGTAAAACTCAACCCCGGGAAAAAATAGGACCAAGAAAAAAAAGAATCCAAGGAAGGTTTTCAAGAACGATGAACCCAAATGGTCGACGAGACCTTAGATTAATTCTTGACACTCTCGCTACGAGCAAGATAAACATAATTAGAGGAGAAAGAGACGAGTTAAATAACCAGGCATCATAACCTCCCCACCTTAGGAAATTTTGTCCCCGAAATTAATTCAAACCTCCTATCAACAAGCTCGAAGGGAAAGCAACCCAACAATAAAGGAACTCCGGGCGATAAGAGAAAATAACAACTCGAAACAACCATAACCCAACAATAGTCTAGAGATCCCTATCTCCACCCAAAATTCACAACTATTGTCATAGTCTCCATGTGCCTTAGTTACAATATCAATAATCAACGCAAAAATTATGAGTATGAATTTCAATGACATTAGCAAAAGTCTTACAACAATTCTCATGCTTAAATAACATCACCACAACGATAAGTGCTTTAACAAATTGTCACTTCACTCCTAAACACTAGAAAATATTACAATTCCTTGAACAACTAAATATTCTCAAACAATTCCAGATATTTGGAGCGGACTTCCGCCTCCCGTTCCCACATCGCTTCTTCGACCCATGGTGTCTCCATAACACCTTCACTAATGGTATAGTTTTGCCCCGGAGCACTTGCTCTGAGTATCTAATATTTGAACCGGTCACTCTTCATAAGAGGCATTCTCATCTGCCTCCAATTCAACCCAATCTAGTACATGAGAAAGGTCGGGTTCATACTTTCTAAGCATGGACACATGAAACACATTGTGAACCCCCGAAAGTTGTGGCGGTAAGTGTGACGACCCAGAATTTTTCCCTCCGCTCGAGCGGAAGAGTTAACGCTCGAGCGGACTTTTGGGGGTTCCCAGTAATTGTGCAGACAGCTTGAGATTCTGGGAGTTGTGATTTCCCGCTCGAGCGGGGGAGTAGACGCTCGAGCGGATTGCTTTGTTGGTCTGCACGCTCAAGCGCAAGGTTGGGCGCTCGAGCGGGTCGTCTGGTTAAGTTTGCTTCTGAGGCATGTGGGCTCATTTTTGATGTTCTTCTTCGTGTATTTGGAATGTTTTTACCTTATTTTGGGGTATTGATTGAGATGATAATATGATGGTAAAGTAAGATTGGACCAAAAACTTTAATTTGAATAATTCGTTTACGACCAACCTTCACTCATTTGCCCTTTTATTTTTCCACACTTTGAATTTGGATGTGAGGTTAGAACCATTGGAAAGCTTATTTCCGGGGCTTCAATTTGGACACAAGAACGACCTAAAACGGAGTCCGGATGGGAGAGTTACGCATGTTTGAAGTTTCAGAATCTATGCTGGGAGCAGGTCCGCTCGAGCGGGAATAGGGACGCTCGAGCGGAAATAGCGGGTACAGCAGCTTAAAAACGGGATTTTGAGATCATTTCTTATGTTTTCCTTTCCTCTCTTGATCCCTCTTGCCCTAAGTCCGAAAACCCTAGAGTTTTGATCCCCAAATACCTCCATTTCCCTTAGGTTTGAGCAAGATCTTCCACCAATAAGTGAAGAAGGCAAGAAGATGAACATTTTCAACCGATTGGAATTTCGAGATTTTGGTGGATTTTTCTCAAAGCTTTGCTCCCTGCTTGGTTCTTGAGGTAGGGGTCCTTGTTCTCTTACAATACTTGCATTCATGGATGGATTTGTGGTATTTTGAGTATATAAATACAAAATCTATGGTTTTGAGCATTTTGTGTCAACTTGAGATTTGGGGTTTTATGGTTTGTGATGTTAGGAGTTAATTGTTGGGTTTAAATGATGGATTGTGAATCCTAGGTGTAGAATTATTGGGAAAATTGGAATTAAAAGTGGTGATTTAAGAAGTTTGAATTTTTGCTAAAAATCATCATTTTCCTTGAAACCCTAGGTTGATTAATGATGAAAACCAATGAATTGGTCCAAATTGAAAGTAGAGTAATGAAATTAAGATATTGAATTAGATGTGTTCAAGTTTAATTGGAATTTGGAAATGTTTGGAAATTATGTTTTAAATTTGCGAATAAACTTTGTTATAAATGTTGGAATTCATGCTATCATGTAAAGGAAAAATTAGAGAAATAATCTATTAAGGATATGGATGACATAAACTCGATTTTGGAATGTTAAAATGAGATTCAAGGGTTTATTTTGAATTATGTTGAATTGTAAATGGTGTTAATGAACTAAATGATGTCGTACTATGATGGATTATGTTTGGGTTACGTGATTTGTGTAGGGTTAGCTTCAAGGGCGGACCACGCACCTCAATACTGTGAGTAATAGTACTTTGATGTACCTTTAACCATTTATCGTTATTGATGTTAAATATTCGTCGTAAGAATTATGTTGACATAAATGTTATAAATGCCATGTGAGAAATACTGTGATATTATGG